CTCCGACCGTACCGGCCGACGTGCCGAGGAGCGAGCGTAGATATTCTTGGCTGTAGCTCTTAAACCGTTGAAGATAGTCAGGTAGTGTAAGCGAGCCGATTGTAGAGCAAAGTTCAAGCTTTCAGACCGTGTTCACGCTTTTCCGATCCGACCCACGCAGCTCCGGCTGGACCGCCGCGAACACCGCGCAGCCGGGCCGGCTGCCTGCGCTGCGACGCGCGTGCCTCCGGGAGGGCCGCAGCGGAGCGATCAGCTGATCAGCTGATGGGGCTGAGGCAGCTGATGGTAAGGAAGCGTTTTCTGAGTTGTGGGTTTGGGCTTTGTTTTGACGTCTGTAACTACTGATGGATAAATATACTCCATGAAGTGCAAAGTTGTGTGGCCAAGAAAAATGTACATTTTGCCGTGGATTTGCAAGGTGACTCAACATACTCTGTTTACATTGTAAGTTACAGGAGATTTGTCATGTGTGAGGTTGTTTTTTCGTGTATCATTTTTAGAATCGAGCAGGAGCCGAAAGAAGCTAACTTGTTTATTGCTGAAAAGAATAAACCCCGGCGACCAGCGCTCGTAGTGTTCACGGCCGTCCAGCCGGAGCTGCGTGGGTCGGATCGAAAAACGTGAACACAGTCTGAAAGCTTGAACTTTGCTCTACAATCGGCTCGCTTACACTACCTGACTATCTTCAACGGTTTAAGAGCTACAGCCAAGAATATCTACGCTCGCTCCTCGGCACGTCGGCCGGTACGGTCGGAGGCCAGGGACCACAGCGCAGCCGGCCCGGCCGCGCGGTGTTCGCGGCGGTCCAGCCGGAGCTGCGTGGGTCGGATCGGAAAAACGTGAACACGGTCTGAAAGCTTGAACTTTGCTCTACAATCGGCTCGCTTACACTACCTGACTATCTTCAACGGTTTAAGAGCTACAGCCAAGATTAGCGGCGCGCGCGCTGCTGCGGGAGCCGCCGCGCGCCACACGTTTCTCTTTCTCAGGCCGCTGTTCGGAAAGTATTGGTCGTATCGAAAAAATATTGATACCGTTGGAAAGCTTTAACTTTTTACTTCAAGTACCCGGTGTCTCCCCTCTTGAGGAATGAACGGCTTAGGAGCGCCGCCGCGTTAAAGTGCTCGCGGCGCTCTCCGCCCGTAGGCGCCCAGCGCAGCGCCGCCCGAGGCTCTCGCCAATGCGACTGCAGCGCTGCGCGCGGCGGCGGCGCTCACCACTGCCGCTCGGGACGCCGCCGGGGAACCGTTTCGCTGCGCGTGGAAGCCAGAGCCGGTCCTCCATACATTCTTACTCCGTGGCCCTACTACCCTTCCGGCTTGTCAAGGTGGCTTCGGTACTGTTACACTAGCAGCCGACTGGGCCGCGGGGCCTTCCCCCTACCGACCCAGCAGGTATAGGGGATGGCGAGCGCGGGGCGCGGCTGTGCCCTGGCGACAAGCGTTTGTTGCGACGGAGTGGCCGTAGCAACCGGCAGCATGCCAGCAGACACCTGCCGACAGATTCAGAAGAGCGCTCTCCTCGCTCTGTCTCTCTCCCACTCATGGGGCGCGCCCGACCACGACCAAGACGGTGGAGACGAGGACGAGCAGCGAGGGCAAACGGGTCCATCACCTCGTCCCTGACCTTGACCCGCCCCGACCCGCCTGATGGATGCTGGTGGGTGCGCTGGGGCTGCAGCCTACACAGCTGGCAGTGAGGTCATTGCGCCCCGCACCGCCCCGCCTGCTGGACGAGGACGAGCAGCGAGGGCGAGCGGTTGCACCACCTCGTCCTTGACCCGACCAGGGGGCCTGCTCAGGAACCAGGCCGGCGAACGAACCCCCCACGGACACTGCGTAGAGCCCCCCTGCCGGTGCCGGTGATCCTGCTTGGCCAGCGCCAAGCCACTTTCATTTTGAGGGTGTTCCTGCGAGGACCTGCTGCGCATGACTAGCCTGACTTCCTTCCACTTGTTCACACAAAACAAGCGCGTGCGAGCCGGTATCCCGCCGCAGGCTGAGTAGACAACGCCACCACGATTGCTTTCATGTCAATTGTGTTGCCTACCTCCGCGGCGCGCTGGGGTCACGCGTACGTAGAGGGGGCGCGCGGGGAGGGTGAAAGGGCCCACTCTCTCTTGAATTCTTAAGTACCGTAACTCATCGGCAGCATCGTCTCTAGCACCTGAGGGTCTCCGAGACTCTCGGATTTATGTCTACGAAAGCCATGTAACTTGTTATACTTTTATCATAGGTTCTCACGTTTGCGCAAGATTACGACCTATTCATTGCTCTCAAGACCTTGGGACCAGGAAGCTGCAAGATACCGGTAATCAAGAAGACTAGAAAGTTTACCATCATTCTGCCCATTCGTTGTGTGTGTCGGTCTGTTATCCTTGAACTTTTTGATTTTACTCATTCTATCTATATTTATTTATTGTATTTTTTCCTCTAAGTATGGAAATATTCTTACTTGGTTTTTATTGTAATGCAAGTATTATTACAGTTCCTTTTTAAAATCATTTATTGTTGTTTAGATATTTTACTTCTTTTTTTTTAAAAGGCATAATGAACTTGTTATTTACAACGGTAGCAAAATAGGGCATACAACAACCATATGAGACGTACAAGGTACTTTGTACATTTTTACCACATCATAACTTCATTCAAATAAGTATTTTCAAACAAATGAACAATTCAATACTCTTTGGTCCTCCTCACTATTCAACAAAACACCACTCTTCAAGTAATATACAAAATTCAATAGAGATACAATAATCTTAATCCTTTACACATTTAACTTAAGTAACAGACATTGATGAAGACACTAGAGAATGTACTAGGGATCTGAGTAAAGTAACATCATTTCAATCTTCATCACTTTCACTACTGCTTTCATCGCTTTCATCACCACCACCTTCAATATCATCTTCACCATCTGCATTGTTCTGTTGCCGGCCAAGTCGAAGGCCGTGCTTGATGCCAGCCAGAACTGCATAAGATGTACTGTGCAGGAAGTGAGCAAGAGTGATTTCACCTCTTTGCAATCGTTGGACAGCTCTTTGAACAATGTCGTCATTCCAAACAGATTTCCATTTCCTAGAACCAGACACAGCTCGGAGGGAATCAGTGGCAACTTTGTCGCAGTACGCAAGATATTCCAGTTGAACAAATCCACCTAAAACCAATAACAAAGCATGAATAAGGGGCGGGCGCACACACACACACACATTAAGATTGTGTTAGAAATTTACTGACCGATAAGATGCCAAATATTGGGTCTGTTTTGAGGGATAACAGAGGCCAGTGCATGGTTGTCTGATTCAGACTTGTTGTTAGTGCGTTCTTCAAGATTGTACACACACAGCTCATCTTTCCGCGGTAGCCAGTAACGCTCATAATGCTCAAATAATGGACGCAGTTCATTTCCCCAACCACTGTCTTCAACCTCGTTCCAAATTTCTAAAACACCACTCCACATGAGATTGCTAGGTAGCATAGGAGTGGCACAAAGGGCTGCAATACTAGATAGAACTATGTCATGTTCTCGAGCAAGTGGAGTCAAGCCTAGCTCCCTTCCCGTTGAACTGAAAGCCTGTGAAAGAGATAAGAAATATTTATAGAATGTGTTGCTTTAATGAATTGATGGCAAGGAATTAGTATTAGACCAAACTGAGGTGAAAATATG